TTTTTTTTTTGAACTGCAGTTTTTAAGTTAAATGCCCATAAAGATATGAATTAAATGGGGGAATCAATGAGTAGGGGAAAAAAGATGACGGGAGCAAAGGAGAAGAAACGAATTGCTTTGGCCATCTGTTATCGTTGTGCTCCTTCTCGCCACCAATGCAGCAGCTGGCAAATTTTTCATTCCTTTATTCGGGACAAACTGAAACTCAGATCAGTCAGGCCCAGCTGACTGACGGCACCGATATTAGTAGTATATCTTTTCGGATAAGGGGTAATAATAGAGGTGGATGGAAGAGGAAAAGACGGGGATGCTGGTTTAGCTCGCAGGGGAGATGGGACTGGAATATTAAATGGAAAGGAGTTAAGACCCTGCATCAAGGTAGGAACTGAAGGCAGGATAGAGATTATGAGTGATATGAGTTTATGATGTTAAGCAAGAAACTAGGTGCTGGATGAAAACGGATATGCTTTTGCCTGCACTGAAAATCTAGCCGAAAAGGAAGTCCTGGTACTTATGTACAGCTGTATTTTTCACAGTTCTCATTGAAACTCGCAAACGGATGCATTTTGCGCTTTCGGTTCGAGTCGAGTTTTCATAATTGTCTAGACCCTCGCTGATTCAAATAATTCCAATATAAGCGTTCAGTTGAGTCCTTGTACCACTTTGTCAGCATTCCCACTGATCTTGTCGCGGGACTGTGGCAAGGTTGCTTGAGCGGCTTCTAGGTAATACTTGTATTCCGGACTTTCTGCACAACGCAAACATTCGTGCTTGCATGTCGATTTGGTGATCGCTGATCAGTTTTTGATAAAAATCCTTGCTTTTATTTGGAGCAGGAGCAGGAATGCTGATGAAAGGCTGAGATTTTGTTGGGGTAGTGCTGGAGAAAGAGGTGATTTGCGAGCTAATGAGCTATAAATTGCCATTTATTGAAGCATTATTCATCTTTTCGGGACGCAGTTGTTGACGTCGTAGTTGTGTGACTGACTGACGCCAGCCATTTCGATCGTTATTCTGAAAGATGACGTCGCATATCTTCAAATGACGTAGCAACGGAGAAACGGATAAATTATGGGCCTACATCATCCAGTGCTTTTTGCATCCTATATCAGCTTATATAATGTAGTTTCGAGTTTGGCTGTTTCAGTGATTTACTACCCAATGTATATTCCTGATCTCTGCAGGAAGCTTTGGCACTCTTGTGTCAGTTACCAAGTTTGTCCGGATAATCGGCATGGGAATCCGATGTTAGTGATATTACTAGGATGCTCCGGAAAGCCCCAAGTGCAGCTGTAGACCGCTTTTATCGACAGTTACTAAAGGTAGAGTCGAGTCGAGAGGGTGCGGGTGAGGACCAAAGGTGACGAGAGGTGAAGATAGAATTGCTAATTTAAGTCTTGGGAGTTATAAGAAGAGAGGTGGCGGATTATTGACTTCAAATGATCTGAGGCCCCGCCTGAAAGCAGGAGCGGGGTTTCTAAAGAGGATGTTTCTATGCTTTTTTCTGCTTAGCCTGAACTTGGTGTTGAGGGGAAATTAGTAAACTTTGATATGATATTTGGGACCTTATCTGGACAAAGAACCGAATACCACGATTTTCGCAACTCCCGAACCCAGAAATGAGTGCATATTGTACGGCGGAGCCAAGCCGTGTCGAGTTTTAGTAGTTACCCTTTTGTTGGTAGTAAGTGATAACAGCGCTTTCCCCTAGCATTACCGCCTCAGCTTGTAAGTGCATTTCTGGCGAAAGCACATCCGAACAGCCTTTGAAATATCGACAATTTTCTACAAAGCGATTTGCGGGCTGCTTTGAATCAGAGCAAGATTGTGCGGCCGGGGCATGCTTATTAGAATTAGCGTCTGTTCGACTTCTGGAAGAGGATTAATACCCTAAGCACTTACTGACTGTGGTGTGAGAGACTAAGCGCCTTCAGCACAGAAGGCTTTACCAGTGTATGCTAGAGTTAGGAGAGAATTTTGCTCTAGTCCCTCATATCCACTTTCAGATCACTCCATTTGCGCGTGATAATTTCATTTTCCAAATTAATTACTTCTCGGCCTCACTCTCTTTCTCTTCAAAATTGTGGGTTTTTTTCTCCAAATATACTGGTTTTCACTTTCCCTGACTTCCTGAATTCTACTGTTTCTTGCTTTTCTGTACCCCACTTGTCTTCACTTTTCCGACTTCACTAGTTTATCTTTTTTTTGAGTTTTTATACTGTCCGCTTGACTTAACACTTACGAATTCTTAGGATTTTCGGGATTTCAAGCGGCGTTCATTTTTTCAGACTTACCGGTTTTAACTAGTTTTTTGGATTTTATTTTATTTTCGCGACCTCCATGCACGCCTGAGTACTTTTCATCTCTTTCTTTTTTGTTGGAAGTTTCATCGCGTGTTTGGTGTTCGAAGCTTTTAATGACGCCGAAACTTTCAGCATCACAAAGTGGGCATCGGAAAACAGCACGTGGAAAATGCGCAAGCGCAACTTGTATAAATTCTACTAGACTACTGACTTTTTTAAAAAATTTCTTAAAAATTCGAAAAATTCTTCAAATAACAGTGCTGGATGAGATATGATGCAGTGCCAAATTGTGGAGAATCAGTTATTGACAATCTACAGACTTATTGCCGAAGGAAAGGCGGTATTTTAACGCTGTTGTAAAAATTCCTGGACAATTCTCTGCTTGCTTGCCAATAGTGAAACGCAAAAAAACAATAGCACCAGTGGTACCAGAAATAGGGAAACCACAGAACGGCTCAGAAACGCACAGCACTTACAGGAAGACAACAATTAACAGTTGAGGAGCAATATTTCATGAAACAGGAGGAGCAAGACATTTGAAGAATTGCGGATTTTTTGCGTAGCGGGCGGAAGGCTGTGAGGAATTCTAATGAATTCTACAGTATTCGTTGAACAACAGCGCCCTCAAATAGTAGTAGCAGGAAGAATCGCAAAAATACGGCCAAAATTGAATGAATTTACAACAACAACAGACGAGACGGTCCGTAACTCTGTTATCAACCGTTCCGGAACACGATGCCGAAAACGAACCGATTCCATTCGAAATTGCATCAACGGTGAGGTGACACGAATATTATCTAACTTTTCACCGAAATGGAGTTTAATTTTCCGGAATGGAGTTTATTCCTGTAGAAACGGAGCTCCTCAGCCACAGTTTTGAGCCGGCGCAGTAAAAAAGCGTAGAATTTAGATTTCAGAGATGATTTGAGTTTACATCGGTCATAAAAACAATAAAGAAATCCTTTTCTACTCTATGATGGCGGAAAGCACTCAAAAATAGCCAAAGTGGCAGCAAGTGCCAACAGCAACCACCCGCTGACAGGGTCATCAAATGGCTCTGTCTTCCCAAGATTCCTCAGGTTGATAATGGTTTTATTTCCTAGATATCTGTAAGTTCTGATAGCCAATAATTTTGCAGCGCTCTGACCAGTGTTGCAGCATGTGGAGATAAGTCTGCTATCGATTCTACCGTCTCTTTCTTCTCCGAAAAAATTAAAAAATTTGGAGATTTTCCCGTAAAAGGCTTTTCCTCTCCATACAAAAGATCCTTTTTGATTAATTTTTTTTACTATCGCATTAAGGACTCTTTAGTGCTTATCCAGGTTTTCTTATCAAATTTTTGCATCCTGTCATTTTTATTATAGAAAGCACTGCAAAATTTAGGATCCAGCTCTTCTTCCGGGAAATTTTTGAAAAAAATGCGAAAATCGTACTGGTGGTGAGAATGGAAGGCATAGCAATAACAAGCCGTACTTTCAATAGGCGTTGAGGGATGCAGTCTGTGTTTCATCTTTTATCTGCAAATACAAAGCGAACTGTTTGTGCCGATAAGAGCGAGAAGCATCGGTACAGCATCCTAAAGAGTGAAATATAGTAAATTTCCGTCCCCTAAGCCATGCTGTAATTTATTGTCTTTGCATGGCAAACTCGCAAAGCTTTCACAGGAAGGAATGAAAAAAAAGATGGGAGCAAATTGAATGCATTTGTTAATCCATTGGACATATGTTTACTTGCTCATTGGTCACTTAGTCTGGGGTAAAGGAGCAGACTAAGGAACAACTGAGTTTGGAGCTAGCTATCGTGGGATTATCATTATCCTTATAATAAATTACGGCCACCGGCTTTAACCAGCGCGTTGCTGTTAAGTCGTTGTTATCGAGTCCACAGAAGAATCATTTGCTGCGCCCGTACTCAAATCAGGAAAATTATGCAAAAACGAGCGAAAAATCAGGATACCACGAAGAACAGCATTATCATCAGCAACAATACCCGTCATCATCTCCGCACCAGCACGTCCGTCGAAGTGGCCGTCGTACAAGTTTCATACGACGCCTTTCGGCCGCAATACCCTCCCTATCAGCCGATCCAATACCCTTTGCTGCCGTAAGTTTTATACGCCATACATATTTTTTATTTTTCTAGATGCAATTACTATACAATTTTTTTCTGTTTACCGTGTTGGCGTGGTGCCAGCGGTGCCTAGATTTGAACTATGACGTACTAGTACGCATGAGTTCAGCCTACTTGATCTATTTATTCTAACTGTTATACAAATTTTTGCTGTTATCGAGTTATGATGGACATCATAAAACTGCCAATCCCAAAAATACTTGAGACTGTTTTATTGATTTTAAACAGATTAGCGGGACGAAAGGGAACATCCGGATCGCCAGCATGTTGGCCACCGGTGATGCAGTATTAGTCAAAGAAACTGAAAAATCTGACAGCTGTACAGGTGGAGAAGCAAAAAATATGTTGCAGTTGATTCAAATGTTGCAAATATGCTTGTAATCAAATCCAAGCAGAAATCCAGAAATATCTACCAGTGTTGCTTGATTTTTAACGATTTTAAGACAGCCGCTGTTCATAACTGCGCTTAGGAAATTACTATCGACCGAAAACACCTTCACGGTCGTCAAAACTCTATGTCCACATATTGCATATCTTTACCACTAGGTAGCTCATCCAGTCACATAATGACAGTTATTTTTAGCTACATAACGCCGCAATTAGTTTATTTCTCTTCTGTAAACGTGCAAACACCTCCATTTCAAGCTTGCTGTAGCGACACAGTGTTTGAAATATCAATATGTTGTTTAAATCAACGTAGGCTGGAACGCACCAGGCGAGCCGGAGCGATCATGCGTTTTTGCACAAAACTTGA